ATCAAAACGCCTCTAACCAACTTTAGCGGACGTTTCTGCGCAAGGACTCGTTTGTCTTTGGCCTTCGGCGCACGCGGGCCGCCGCTTACCTGCCCCGCCTGCATGATGCCCATCATGGGGAACAGCACCACCGGCAGCAGGGCCGTCACCGCCAGGGGTAAACACTCGGTGCACCAGTAGAGCGCCATCAGCAGGATGGCGTAGCCGCAGCGGGCCTCCTGCGCTCGCACGCGCACACACACAGAAGCCAAAGCTTGCGAGGCCATCGTACGGGAACACTTTTACCGTACACATCTCGGACCGGAAAGCAGCAGCGTCGCATTACAATCGGTCGCATATCGTAAAATCGACGCACGCACAGCCAGCATGTTGGATGTACTCGCTCCTTCTTGTTGGCGAGGAAACACAGCACGTGTGCGTGTGTGTTCACATCGGCGTGAAGAGCACAGTAATCCCTCGTTTATCGCGCTGAATGGGGACCAAAACCACCCGCGATAAACGAACCGCCAAGTAGCGAGGGATCGCTGTATTTGGCAATGCCGGAATACGGCAGAAAGTGGATTCTGGATTTCAAGAGTTGAATTTGAAATTGGACGTCACGTCGAGTACCGGAGAAAATTTGCCGACGAAAATGACGAAATCCAGCGGCCGGCGCGTCGCCGTCCTCCGAGTCGGGTTGCCCGAAAGCCGCCGGCGGCCTTTGCCAACCGGCCAAGCGTGGAATGTGCCCGTCGCGGCGGCGCAGAAAACAATCGGAGCTTTTCCGAAGTCGTCCCGCTTTTGTCCACCGAGGCCGACGCGTCACCTTCGGGTCGTCCGCGGTGCGCATTTTCGCCAAAGGGGGCGCGAGAAAAGGAGCGCGCGGCTCACCGAGGTGGGGCTGACGAGGGGCAGCGGGAGGAGCGCCACGGGGACCCCCAAAGTGATCACGAAGTTGCGGTGGCGCCAAAGCCACCTGACGACGCCGCCCATGGTGCTCCGCAGCAAGAAGACGACCAAGACCAAAACCGAGATGACGAGGTGGCGGCGGCCGGGATGGTTTTATACGCGGGCCCCATCAAACATTAACCGCTCACGGGACGATTCGTCGGGGCCGCGCCTCAACGTTGGCACGGGATGTGAAAGACGGCCGCGCAACGGCGAAGCGTCGCCAGTCAAGTGAAGGGCGAGCTCCTTTGTTGCAGCTCCAATTTGCAGGCCGCCGAGAAGACGCTTGACGGCTCAGGCTTGTTGCCCCCCCCCCCTCCTCCGCCCCACTTGAAGCCCTGTTGATGTGATCGTGATCAGTCATCAGGACAAGTTGTCCTTCCTCGCGCTTCGCCGCGAGCGCCGTTCGCTCAAGAATTTGGGGGCGGCGCTCGAGCCGCCGCCGGGCCTCGATGCTCCGCCGTCGGTTAAGACGGGAGCTGGGGATCGGTCGCCGGGCCGTGTCGGCGCGCCACCGGCCCTGACGAGTTTGGCGGACGACGGGATGCTTGGCGGGTCCCGAGCGGGCGCTCCCCATTTGCGGCTCGGGGGCGGGGCCGGACAAAAAGGTCGCATCCTCTTCACGGCGGCCGCGCCCTCATCATCATCCCCGTCGTTGCCGTGGTCACCTCAGCGTCGGAGGCATCAGCAAAATCCTCCTCGTGGCCAGCGCCATTGTCCTCAACACGTCATCATTGTTGTGGTGTTTTTGCCAGCGTGCCGTTTCATTCGAATGGAAAACACACAAACGCGAGCGTGCGCACAAACATAAAAACAGCGTTGTTGTTTTTGATGTCTTCGTCCATGTCAACATGATCAAGGTCAGAGTCTGCTCTTAAAATCAATCGTGCGCGCGTGCGCGAGCGCTTGTTAACGATTGACGGCCCCGCACCAAAAGCAAACGTGACCTTTGGCGTTTTGGAGGTGGCGGGCGGACCAATGGGATGGCGCGGCGCAGCGCCGTCAGCCCCTCGGTCCTCGGCGCCCCGCGACCACTTTCCACTCGGACCGCGACCGGTCACTCGTCGCTTCCTCTCCTCCAAACTCATTTTGTCACTTCTCCACGTTTGGCGGCAACTTCTTGCCGTTTAGTCGCCGCCATGAAGACGCTGCGCATCTTCATCATCGCAATGATGATGATGATGACGACGAAGCTCACCTCGGCCGCAGACGGTACGTCAACTCTCACGTCCGCACATCCACAATCAAACAAAAGTCATCGGGTGCATTTGAAACATTGATGGATGCGCGTGCGCGCAGAGACGTGCGCCGGCCGCTGCGGTTCCTTCGAGCCGCTGAGGAAGTGCCAGTGCGATTCCATGTGCCTTTACTACGGAAGCTGCTGTCCCGACTTTGACCAAATGTGTCCCAAGAAGAGTGAGTGACCTTGACGCGCGTCCTTCAAGCGTCGGGCGGCAAACGCTCACGTGTGTTTCTCACCCCGTCCGCGTCCGTCAGCGGCGCGCGGCGACACGTTTGAAGAAGCCGAAGAGGACCGAAGCACGTTGGAGACGCCGGTGGACGTGTTGGCCCCAAGCGCGGCGCCGTTCTCCTCCAGCGCGCCGCCGCTCACCTCCAGCGCGCCGCCGCTCACCTCCGAGCGGCCCGAACCTCCCCCCGCGGCGCCGCCTGCCGACCGAGACGCGGCGGCCTGCAGCGCGCGGCCCTTTGACGCCTTCCTGCAGCTGAAGAACGGATCCGTGTACGCCTTCAGAGGTGCGTCCCCCCACCCGGCGGAGAGACGGCATTCGGGATGATTTCCCGCTGCCCCGTCAGCCCCGTCGGGCTTTTTGACGGTTCACCAAAACGTCAAGTGCAATCCCTGTGGCGAGGCGAGCGGGGAGTAGAGGAAAGGAGCCGGTGTTTGCCAACGCCGCCCTCCCTCCTCGTGGTGAGCAGAGGTCTCGGCTGTCACGATTCGGAGCAACCGAATCATGTTCTGGATGCCAAAAATTGTCGACTCCAGACGAGGACGCCGTCACAAAAAGGTTTCATCTCCAAAAATCGCACCGACAACGTAGGAACATAAAGCGCAGGTCAAAACAAGGAGCGGGGAGCACAAAAACGAAAAACAAAAAGCGCTTGCACAAAAGGCAAGGAAGGAAAACAAACCCGAGACGACAAACGAAAAACAATGTCGCCAATTCACTGAAACAAAAACAATACTTGCAAACAGCAATGGTACCGAGAGATCGATAGCGAATACGAGCAGGTCTACGGCAAAGGTGTGTGAGCGAGGAAGCAGCAAAACAAAACAAAACAAAACAAAAGAATGCTCCCGACAAGCGGCGCCGTTTGTTGCAAGATTGGCAGCAGGCGTGCAACCAGGAAGTCCGCTCAGCCCGCCACCTGCTGGCCGGGCCGAGAACAGCAACATGACAGCGGCAGGTCGGGCTTTTCCCCGTTTGGAAATCGGTCCGTCTCGTCTCGCTCACGCGCGCGAGACGAGACGGAGAGCGCGCCGCGCCGCGTGGCGACGGGATGTTTGTTTGTGACCGGCGGGCTCCCCGCAGGCCATTATTTCTTCGAGCTGGACGACAAGGCCGTGCTCCCCGGCTATCCCAAACGGATCGAGGACGTGTGGGGCGTGACGGGGCCCGTGGACGCCGCCTTCACCCGCATCAACTGCCAGGGCAAGTCCTACATCTTCCAGGTGAGCCGAGCACACGCCGCGGAGGCCGCCGCCGCCATTTGCGCCGGAGCGAAAAGGGAGGGAATCCTCCCGAGCGAGACTCCGGAGCTGACGCCCGCCTCACGTGACCTCAAGGGAAGGAAGTACTGGCGCTTCGACGGCGACGTCCTGGACGAGGGCTTCCCCAGGGACATCTCGGAGGGCTTCGACGGCATCCCCGACGACCTGCACGCCGCCTTCGCCGTGCCCGCGCCCAATCACCGGCAAAAGGAGAAGGCCTACTTCTTCAAAGGTACGCCCAGCGCCCGCTTGCTCGCGACGACCCGCGCGCTCTTCACGCGTGTCCTCGTCAGGGGATCGCTATCACGTGTACGAGTTTGTCAACCAGCCCAGCCATCACGAGTGCGTCCAGATGAGTCGATCTTCGCCGTCGCTCTTGTTCTCGCGCTACACCGACCTCTTTTGTGACCAAAGCCTGGACGACCTTTTCGGCGCACTCTTTGGGGCCGCAGGTCAGACTCGCGCGCCGCGCCGCGCCGGCGCGGGTCGACCTCTCCCTCATCCTTCCCTTCGTCCGGGTCTTCAGGCGGCCGCCAGTCGTCGGGGCCGCGCCTCATCAGCGGCGACTGGGCGGGCCTCAGCCCCCCGGTGGACGCGGCCATGGTGGGGCGCGTCTTCCTCAGCCCCAAACCCGCGCCGCCGAAGCCGCCGCCGTTCGCCGGGAGGCGAAACCCGCGCAGGTGGAGGAAGCCCAGCAGGAAGTTCCGACGCAGGCAAAGTCGCCAAACGCTGTTCGACGACTTCTGGAGCGACTTGTTCGACGACGGTGAAACGTCGCGGGAGGATGTCGCCACCGCGGCGCCGCTGCGAGGGCAAACGTCCGCCGGCGCGCCCGTTCAATACGTCTACTTCTTCAAGAGAGGTTGGTCGCCGCAAGCGCGCCGGGGCGTATGTGGCCGCGTGCCGTGACGCGCCGCCCATCCGCCCGCAGATAAGTACTACCGGGTGGACCTGCGCAGCAAACGCGTGGCGCCGGCCACGCCGCCTTACCCGCGCTCCGTCGCCGAGTACTGGCTGGGTTGCCCGCAGGAAGACGCTCCTGACGCCCCGCGCGCTGAGAGGAGATGAAAAGGCAAGCATCGAGGCGAGGCGACAGCAAACGGCAACGCGTCTCATTTTGGTTCGATTTCAAGCGTTGAACGTTTCAGCCAACCCGGAAGAAGAAAGAGCTAATCGACGGGCCAGATCCTGTCGTCGAACGGCGCGCGACTTCCGCATTCGCCGCGCTCCCTGCTGGACCAACGTCGTCCTCGCGGCCGAGCCCTCCAAATAAACTCAATCGCACCCCCTGACGTCCTCCGCCTGCTGTGTGAAAAGCGAACGAAAAGGCACCGCTGGGATTCGAACCCAGGATCTCCTGTTTACTAGACAGGCGCTTTAACCAACTAAGCCACGGCGCCGTGCGCGGATCGCCGTCGCTCGCTTTTTAGTCAAAGACCACCGGCACGCGACGCAGCTTTGCGCTTTGCCCGTCAAACGGCCGCCGCTCGCTGTTGAATCGAAAGTCACAAAGCGCGTCCGACTTCTGTGAATCTTCCCTTTGTAGACATTCTTTTATCGGATTCCTGTGGCATAAACACAGCACACCGCGATGGACACCCCCCTAAAATTGGTTGGGAACATTTATTTTCTTTTCGAAATTCAGCTCGCTCGAAGTGTCAAATATGATTCATTGTAATTACATGAGATAGAAATAGAATTTGACAACGAATGAAAGCCAAAGCGCAAAATGACATGATCCAAAAGATGTCAACGATTCAACATTTTTTGTGAGTCAACTTGCTACTTAGAGAGAATGAAATACATCATTGAATTGAAAAAAAAAAGATGACTATTTGATGACAAGCAACAATTGAACCTCGCGCCGTAAATAATGAACAAGTTCGATGCGCTTTGGTGCCGCCGCGGAGGGAATCGTTTCAAAGAGTTCGGTTCGAACGGCGAGGAGAGAGCATTTGCCATCGACGCGCGTGACGCGGGGGCTTCTTTCCGACCGGTCCGACGGGGCCCGGGAGGGCAAAAGCGCTCTTGGATGACGTCATATTGAGCGACGTCGGCCCGCGCCACTGCGCCTGTGCCGTCGTCCGGCCGCCCGTCGGTCATCCTGTCGAAATCTTATTGGACGAACCCGAGAGGCGTGTCCTCGTGACCGCAGAGGCCGCGCCCGCGAGGAGGCGGGCATAGCGGGGCTGTCAGTCAAAGTCGAGACCGCTACAGATCCAGTCCGTCCGATTCCGACTGGTCGTCCGACTGGTCGCGCCGTTCACGACAAACGCGCAGCCCCGCACACCGGCCCAAGTGTACGAGGTGAGCCCGCGCACGCCGACGACGCCGCGGGACGCGACGCGACGCGTCTTCCTGCTCCGCTTCCGCTTCGCCGCGGGGAGTACTTTTCGTCCCGAACCGAAAGCGGTCGAAAAAGAGGAGCCGCCCGCTCGCATTTGTGTGACGCCTGAAATGGAAGAGTTGGGCGTTTTGTTTAGTTTAGTTGTTTTTTTTTTCTCTGTCGGCGTGGAGCCTCCTCAAGTCCGCGTGACCTCAGCGGCGCGCTCGAGCCTGTTTACGTGACGCCCGTGCGCGCGCACGGACGCCTCGCAGGACGAGCGGCGACGTCGCTCGTCGTCGGGTGCCAGTCGGAAGGCGTTGGCCTCCAAACTTGGCCGATGTGGAGCGAGTGAGCGGACTCGGCTGCCGCGGCAAAAACAAAACAAAAAAACGGACTCAAGCGATCGAGTTGTTGTTGCAGCCCCGAGAGAACTGTGGTTTCAAAAATCCTCCCCCCCGCCCCAAATCAATCTGTTGCTTCATTAGGGAAGGGGGAGGGGAAAACAAACAAACAAAAACTTTCCATTCCTTTCTCTCCAAAATGATTTGGAGTGAAACGGAATCTGCAAATCATCAACAGTTGTGTGCAAATGTCCTAGACGTGTGGACTCGCAGTCAGGCACGCATTGGCGACTCGCCAATCACTCGCTTGGACTTTCCAAGGGACGATCGAAGTCCACGCCGCCAAATTCGCCCAAACGTTCCATTGGCGGGAGTCAAGTTGAGCGCGCACGCAAGTGCCTGCTCTGGTGATGGGGTGGGGGGGGCACGAGCGGAGGGGTTCCCGACCCAGCCGGTCCTGCGGTTCGGTTCCGTTGCTTGGGCCCGGCGGACAGTCCGCACGACGGACGTGGATGGGGGGCAAAACGCCGCAGTCCCTTTTGAGAAGAGTTGAAAGTACTTGTACTGTATTTGGCACGTGCGGCAGGATGTCTCGCGAGCAGCAGGCGGTGGCGGGCGCCAGGCGGGCCTTCCAGACGGGCCGCTCCAGATGTCTGGAGCACCGCGTCCGGCAGCTGAAGAACCTCCAGCGCCTCCTAACCGAGTGCCGCGGCGACATCGCCGGCGCCATGAAGAAGGACCTCCGCAAGGTGGACAAACGCCGCCGCCCGCGCACCCCGTGACAAACCTGCGCCGGTTTGAGCGTCTCGATTGCGGGCATAAGCGAGTGTTACTTTTGCAAGACAGTCGTAATGTGGGAACAACACTGAAGTCAACCGGGGCAGAAAGGTTGCTCTTCTCAAGCCTATTTGAAAACTGCCACTTTGGCAGGGGTACAACTTTTAATCTGGTAAAGGCGCCGTCATTCGATGACAAAAAAATACACACACACAAAAAACCCCAAAACGTAATCCACGTCATCCGATGTCTCCGAATCTGGAACGGTTGTCTATTACTCGTGTTGTCCCTCATGAGCAGGCCGCGGCTTATTTGGCCCGCGGGTCGGGGCGCGCGCGGCGCGTACGTAGGCCGGGGAAAAAGGCCCCTTTGACGCTGGGCGCGACGGCGGTTTCCCCGCCGGCCGACTTGAGCCGCCGCCTTTGCGCCTCAGAGCGAGGTGGTGGTCCAGATGTACGAGACGCTGGGCCTGGAGGAGGAGATCGCCCTGGCCGTCCGCAAGCTGAAGGAGTGGGCGGCGCCGCGGCCGGTGGAGAAGAACCTGCTGACCGTGTCGGACGCGGTCTACGTTCAGGCCGAGCCCCTGGGCGTGGTCCTGATCATCGGGGCCTGGAACTACCCGTGGGCCGTCACCCTGCAGCCGCTCATCGGCGCCATCGCCGCCGGTACGCGCGCCTGCGCCATGCGCCTGCGCCATGCGCCTGCGCCATGCGCCGCCTTCCCTCCCCAGTGGCACAACTTTTTCACTCAATCTGGCGAGCGCATATCGGCGAGCGAAACCACCGGCCTCTCCGAGAATTTACACGCCCTCGGGCCTATTTTGACGACGCGCTTTAGTTTTTTCTTTCCCACCCATGTGCCCCGAGGCGCCGGGTCGTCCTTGAAAGTTCAATGAAAAGTCGGAGGAAGTTTTGCGGGGGGGGGCGTCCGTGGCCGGGATGCATCCAAAGGGCGAACCCTTGCCCTCTCGCGGCGTTGTTGCGCAAGCTTTCACCTTTCCCCACCGTATCTGCCGTACCCGAGCGCACGGGCCGCCCTTTCTGCCAACCCGCACGCGGCACGTCATCTCGACCGACCAAAGATCGCCGATCGACCGCGTCTTTCCGCCGTCGGGTATCTCGCTACCTTTTGCACGCGCCCCGCCCCCTTCCACTCCCACTCCAGCATTTCTGTGCGCTTGCGGCGAGCGTAACTTGACACCCGCGCGTGCCCACGCGACCGGTCGCAGCTCGACTTCCTGTTCCTGATCCTCAGTCCCTGTTTGGTAAACTCGAGTGACAGGGCTTGAAACACGTCGAGTCGGCACAACAACAGAAAAAAAAAAAATTATGTTTTTTTTCCTTCAGTCTTCCTCATGTGAGGTTCGCCGCAACCGGCATGCGCACGCACACCCCCCACGCTTTGTCATGCAAAGTGGATGCG